AAAAAAAAAAAAACACACACAAAAAAACAACAACAACACACACACACACACACACACACATACCCACACACATACATACACATGTGACTAGTCCACCCACAGTAGGAACAATGCAAAGGGAAATATAGAAGGACATCAATATGCGTAGGAAAGAGAAAGAAAGAAAAGAGAATATCATCCGCCCCCGAAGGGAGATCCGGTCTAAAATGACAAACTTTTCAATCATGATAAAGGCATACGGAAAAACCACAGCACTGATACCTTACGTAGGCCAAGAATAAGTGAGGATGGTCCCTTTTCCGAAACATAATATCCTCTTAGAGGAAAAAAAAACACAGAAAAAAACCAGACATGAATGCGTCCAGCGTTGCATAACTTTATTGAGAATATAGGGCCCATAAGATGGAAGTTACTACTACTGTGAATTGTTGGTGATGATTGAATGTCTGTGACATTCCCTGGCCTTGTGCAGAACTGATGCGGAGGAGAATCATGTGGGTGACGACAGCAGCAACAGAGGACCCGTGAGTCTCTTTTTAGTTTTAGTAAGAGTTTTACGGCATTTGCAACACAATAAGGTTATATAAGTTTTTAGTTTTTAGTAAGTGTTTTGCGGCACTTGCAAAACAATAAGGTCATATAAGTGCCGAAGAACAGATTATGTGTTTCAAGAGAGTAACATAGGCCCTACACGTAAAAGAAGGAAGAGAGATAAGGAAGAAAGATAAGGAAGAGAGATAAGGAAGAGAGATAAGGACGACAGATGTTTGATAGGAAAGAAGTCCGAGTAAACCACATCAGAGGATCCACCAACCACCTACTACGGCACTTACAACACAATAAGGTCATATAAGTGCCGAAGAATCGATTATGTGTTACAAGAGGGTAACAAACACAGAAAAGAAGGATGAGAGATAAGGACGATAGATGTCTGATAGGAAAGAAGGAGCAAACCACACCAGAGGACCCGCCAACCACCCACATCTGAGTCTTTGTTACTGGGATGAATTTACCTACTTATCTCGAGTTATACGGGGTGCCCATTACGGCTGGATCGGGCCGATCGCCCGACTCGGTCGCCTGATACTGAAAATAAACACGTTTGTTTTTGAGGCGACCAAGTCGGGCGATCGGCCCCATCGGCCGATCCCATCCGTAGTGATTAGTGGGCACCCCGTATTAGCCTTGGCAGGCAGGGTCAAAGAAGTGTGTCTTCTGCATGAGTTAACGTTTGTCAAAGGGGGTGTCAAATTGTTCAAAACTAACACAAACACGCAATACGGTATATACATAGGACAAACAAAAGAGGTTATAGCGTGATGCCATTCTTGTTTTAGTATGTGTTTTAGTTTTAGTAAGAGTTTTACGGCACTTGCAACACAATAAGGTCATATAAGTCCCGAAGATTATGTGTTTAACGTCCCTTTTAAGACAATAAAATCAATTTCAGAGGCATTTCCCCGACCATTCTAGAAAACATTAAGCCAAGCGGGGGGAGGGACGCAAAAACCACGATAAACTGTCTAGCCGTAAAAACTAAAGGCTCCCATGGCGGTCTAGAGGTAGGTCAAAAGCTAAATGAGATAACGACACGCTCTGTGAAAATCCCCACTTTTCATGGAGAGTACTTTGAATAAAGCAAAAGAACAAAAAAAAAAAAGAAGAAAAAGCTAACACC